AGACTGAATAAGACTAGCATGTAAAACACAAAGCAGGATGTCTGACACATACAAAGCGTTAGAAAATGTTGCTAATTAATGGCGGTGATGTTAGCAGAAGCTGGGGTAGCAGCAATCACCTAGATGTGAGATGTGAAATCATCAAAGATGATGATTTGGTTTTTGGCTTGCATAACTGAAGGAGTGAAGTTATTATTTACTGAGTTTGGGGACAATGGAGGAAAGCAAGGGCATCCTCTGTTGGACCAAAGGTGTTTAAGTCCCAAACAGGTAATAGCAAAACTATTTTCAATCACTTATACACAGCATCCCATTTCCATTCTTTCTTCTCTTCAAGCTGCTTTGGTTCTAAGCAATTCCTTCCCAGAACATACGAAATTGTTGATGTAAACACGGGATTCTAGAAACCAAATTACTCTGCAATCAAAGGCCTGGATGAGTCATTGTTCTTAAGTAAATTATGTCAAAGCATTGTAAAGATGGACAGCACCAGAACAAAATCCAGACCCTTCAAGTAGTTCTCACTTTTGTTTGAGAGAGAAGCATTGGCAAACATCAGAGAGAATTTATGCGGTCAATATGAAATAAGGTAAACACTAGAGGTTAAGAGAAATGGCAAAGTACTTCTATTAATTGTAAATGAGGATTTGCTGATAATTAAAGTGCTAAGGTTTGATGAAGTTAGATTTCTATTCTCTTTTTCAGACTCCCACTGGTTTTTGACTACCGAAGGAAGGGTGGTATTAATTCAAGTCTGACTTCTCAGCTGTACTCAATTGTTTTTTATTTAGTTACTAGTTCAAAAACTGACTAAATAACTTTATGCATAGGTTTTCTAATTTTTAAAAATATCCTAATGTAACTGTTCATTTGATCTGAGGCGTATTTGCCACTTGCCAGGATTCCCCAAATACATCATGAAAAGCTCTAGACAAGGCACTCACTCACTACCCATGGAATTCAAATGAAAGTAGCACAAGGCAATTAGAACTAGTGAGTTAGTTCATTAGTAACCAAATTAGTACCCTTTAACCCCCACTGGGTGCACTCTGGGCTGACAGTGAGCTTCTCTGGGTTCTAACTCTCTTCAACTTTAAAACAAAGACATAGAAGGTCATAAAGTTCTATTCCAGGTCTCTGATATTTGATTGTGGCAAGCTTCTGAATAAGAAAACCTTGAATTTTGTTTCCCTCTACTCTTGATAAAGATGGATTGCAAACAAGCCATCTACAAATGATTTTAAAGACAAGTTTATGCCAATATTCTATAGGGTTACTACAAAGTACTTCTCTCTCTCTGCATTGTAGAAAACTAGTCATGGGGGATTCAACCTTTCAATTTAGCATCTGCCAATCACACTAATCTAGCTAACTGAGGTGTAAACTAGATTGTGAAATAATCATAAGGAAGTATGATATGTATATTGTCCACTAACTTCCTCTCACTACAGAAATAGAGAAATGGGGTTTTTTTGAGGAGGCAGTTGCTATATTCACCAAAACTATTGAATTTCTTCAATATTTTTGTTTAATTTTCTCCCCCCCTTACTGTAACTGTAGTTGGTGTCATGCCTGAATCTATTTACATTAACTAAGGACATAGGAAGAGCGAAGATCGGAGAATTTTAAGTCTGAAATTTGGCATCACTACCTTGAACAATATATGCCTTAGTTGGCATAAACTACTTATACAGGTAAGGGTGATTATTTATTCATGTTTAGTTTAAAACTGAATTCTAAAAACTCTGAGAGGACTAACCTGTTTACATTTTGAAAACTTATCATTAAGTAATCAGCATGTTAATAATGCGGATAATCATTAGTAATTGAAGTCAGAGTAATAGAACTTTTCGTTGTCAAATTAGCAGAGACACGATATATGCAGGAGTGACTGTAGACACACTCTGCTGAAGGGAACGCAGACATGCAGACATTTTCTGGAAAGTAGTTCTGTATCTGTAACATATCATTTTTATTTGACTTCTTAAGTTGAACAGTATTTTCCATGTTGAAAAAATTATCTAGTAGTTTTACAATCAAAGTTTATTTTTAAATTAGGAGAAGTACACAATAGATACAAGTTTGGGAAGCTAGATATGGTGAACTAGTTGTCGTTTGCTATGCTGAGGTTCCTGCAGAGACTCTGAAAAAGCTAGCCTCTGTAAAAGTCTTGCCTCCCTTTTGTTCAGAAGCATTTGCTATCAATAATCACACTGAAGCACCATTACCTTTATGGTTTTTAGTATATTGTACATTATCTACACAAGGCAGGGGCTAGTGCTTTCCTTTAACGCCATCATAAAAGTAAGCTCCATTCAAAATCAAAATCTACTTTGAGAAGATAAATTTGTCCTTAAGAAATAAATGGGCTTATTCCCCTCTCTATTTGACTGACCTTGAAATCGGTTAAATTACATATTAGGTTTATGTATTTATAATTGGGTCTGTACTAACTACAACCAGACTCTAATTCTCCAGGCTGTACTGGATTCAGAAACAAACTCACTTTGAAACATGGATTGCTTTCCAGATATAAGCTGCAAAGAGATAAAATAAAATGATAAAGGCACTGGTAGACATGAATGAAAGGTTTTAGTATTTGCTCCTAGACAATGGGAAGCCCTCAAAATTTCAAGTCTTATGGATTGTTTGGTTTAAAAAAATATATTTCAAAGTTATAATAAAATATTTTGGAAAAAATTCCCTCTTTCTATTTTCCAAGATGAAAATAAAACCGTGATTCTGAACAGGAATAGACAGTAAAATAGCCCTGAGGGGCTTGGGAATGATAAGAATCTCAGAAGGCTGTGTATGGTGAAATTTTTATGCTTACCAAAAGAAAGAATGTGATTTTAAAAAAATTAAAAGAGAAACCCTGCTCTAGATCATAAAAAAGTGGAGAATGTATGCTCAGGTGATATTGAGGAACACAGGGAGATGCAGCACATTCTGAAATTGACCAGAATCCATTAACTTTCGTTATTCTCATCTGAAATAAGGAAATATGGAGAAAAATAAGAATGAAATGTTTAGGTGTAAGTAGAATGTGATTTTAAAAAAATTAAAAGAGAAACCCTGCTCTAGATCATAAAAAAGTGGAGAATGTATGCTCAGGTGATATTGAGGAACACAGGGAGATGCAGCACATTCTGAAATTGACCAGAATCCATTAACTTTCGTTATTCTCATCTGAAATAAGGAAATATGGAGAAAAATAAGAATGAAATGTTTAGGTGTAAGTCATCAGCACTTCGTGTGTACCCTCTGAAGTAAGAAGATTAAAAAAAAAATAGAAAAGTGAAAACCAGGGCCACCAGGAGTCTTAGTGATTCAGGTGCTGGACTCCCATATGATCAACTACAGTTCAAGCCTCAGACCTGGTGGCTTGAAACTCATGCCGGGTGTGTGTGTGTGTGTACACGTGCCTGTGTGTCCAGAATCCCAGGAAGAGATTGGAGAAGGGATTGTGGTGTGGCCATCCCCCCTGGGGGGTGATTTCTCACTTTCCCTCTCTCTGTCTTCCTCTCTTTGGTGAGCACATAAGTGACAAAAACAAGAAGAAACAAACAAAAAAAGAAAAGCAACAACTATACCTGCATTTATAATATCACATTTCCAAGAAAACTGAAAAACTCAAATATGTACTAAATTACACACAAGGACACATGGGGGCGCCCTAATCAACAAATACAGCAACTACAGTTCTGACATACAATTTTAAAGTAATCTTTTTATTGAAGCATGACAGTTTAATATTAAATATGTGAAACGAGAAATTACTGCTGCCCTGTGGTAATGATCCTGGCATTTTGGAGTCTATCCTTGGTTGCTATATTTTCCCTCTGTTCAACTCAGGATTTGCCTGGGTTTTTGTTTGCATGGAAATGAGTGTACTTCAAAAACATGAAGAGACTCTTCTGATAATATTAGATTATAGAGAAGTGTTTTAACCTAGCCATGAAAAGACAGATTTTGAGGGGCCAGAAGGTGGTGTGGTGGTTAAGGCACTGGACTCCCACATGGTTGAAAGTGGTTCGAGTCTCGGACCTGGTGGCTTGAAAATCACACCAGGTGTGTGTGCATGAGTGCCCAAAATCCTGAAAAGAGGATGGAGTACAAGGGATTGTGGCATGGCCATTTCCTGTGGGTGGTTATTTCTTACTTTCCTTCTCTCAATCATTCTCTATTTCCCTCCAGGAGAGCACATGTGCCCTATGGAAAAAACCTTAAAAAAAGAAGAAAAAAGAGAAGACACATTTTGAAAACTATTTAAATATAATTAATGTCTAATTAAAAACTAACTCATCTATTAATGTGGCCACAAAATGCCTTTGCAATGTCTTCCTTTTGCCAGTGTGTATTGTTTGAATGTACCTTAACATTGACAAATCTTCAGTTTTGGGAAAAATGACTCGTTTATAAATTGCTTTATACTCTAAGAACTATAGCTTCCTCTAATATAAAATGATAAATACTAGGGAAACAGCAGTTAGCGTAATGGCTATGTCGCTGGACTCCCACATAGTCGACCGCGGTTCACGTCCTGGACCCAGTGGCTTAAAACTCACGCCGGGCGCGTGTGCGTGCGTGCCCAAGATCCCGAGAGGAGAATGGAGGAGAAGGGATTGCGGCGTGACCATCCCCCGGGGGGGTGATTTCTCGCTTTCTGTCTCTCTGTCTCTCTCTGTCTGTCTGGTGAGTGCACGCGCCCTATAGCAAAAACCTCTCAAAAAAATTATAAATACCGAATATTTAACTATTTACATCAAATTCTGTTTTTCAGACAAAGGCATTATCTATTGTAATACATAATCTTCTGTTTTTATTTCAATCGGAACAATTGTGATTAGAAAAGGTAGAGAGTCTTCTATACTTTCCCTTTCCATGCAATCCATTTTTGTCACTATTTTATTTCATCCCATGTGTTTTTTCTTTACTATTCAGCTTAAACACAGCCATAATTTTAATATTAAATATCTGCAATTCTGTTCTAGCTCCTGTGACAAAATTCAAGAAAATCTGTTATAAATGAGTAACAATTCAACATGCATTCGACCATCCATGATCTCTTCCATGGCTTTACCAATCAGTTACACCTTCCTTTGTATTGTTGGTCTCTTCGGCAACTCTCTCTCCCAGTGGGTATTTTTAACAAAAATAGCTAAGAAAACATCAACGCACATCTACCTGGCACACCTTGTGACCGCAAACTTACTTGTGTGCAGCGCCATGCCTTTCATGGGTATCTACTTCCTGAAAGGTTTCCAATGGCAATATCATTCTGTGCAATGCAGAGTGATCAACTTTCTGGGAACTCTATGCATGCATATAAGCATGTTTGTCAGCCTCTTAATTTTAAGTTGGATTGCTGTAAGCCGCTATGCTACCTTAATGAAAAAGGATTCCGTGCAAGAAATCACTTCGTGCTATGAGAAAATATTTTATGGCCATTTACTGAAAAAATTTCGCCAGCCGAACTTTGCTAGGAAACTGTGTGTTTACATATGGGGTGTTGTTCTGGGCATAATTATTCCAATTGTCATCTATTACTCAGTCGTAGAGGCCACAGAAGGTGAAGAGGGTCTGTGCTATAATCAGCAGATGGAACTAGGAGCCACGTTTTCTCAGATTGCCGGTCTCATTGGAACCACATTTATTGGATTTTCATTTTTAGTAGTACTAACATCATATTACTCCTTTGTCAGCCACCTGAAAAAAATAAGGACCTGCACATCCATTATGGAGAAAGATTTGACTTACAGTTCTGTGAAAAGACATCTTTTGGTCATCCAGATTCTACTAATAGTTTGTTTTCTTCCATACAGTATCTTTAAACCCATTTTTTATGTTCTACACCAAAGAAAGGATTGTCAGCAATTGAATTATTTAATAGAAACAAAGAACATCCTCACCTGTCTTGCTTCAGCCAGAAGTAGCACAGACCCCATTATATTTCTTTTACTAGATAAAACGTTCAAGAAGACAATATATAATCTCTTTACAAAGTCTAATTCACCACATATACAACCGTATGATTGACTCCTGAATGGAAGACACCACAAAATAGAAAAGCATTCAAGTGACCCTATTAGGGACACCAAAGTATGTGATTAAGGTCATAGCTTGGTTGACAATAGGCACTGATAAAATTTCTTTGTTTTTTAAAAATAAATATATAGAGTCATAAAACTTGATTTATAGTTCTACTTATAGTAAAAGTTGAGATGGCAAAGACTTTCAGAGGCAAAAGTCAAGCATACTGAGAGGATCCCACTACATATGAAACCACGAGGTCAATTTCTCTTTAAACTCAACTGCGGATGCTGCTGTGTAGAACACAGTATTTCACAACTGTAGAAGAAGCAAATGGTTTATGTCTGCTTTTGAGACATTGGAATACAAGGGTCGGTCTATGGCTCCTGTTTGTTTTGCTGGTGATTTTTACAAACTTTAAAAGTAAATAAAAGATCAAAAAAACATGAAGAAATGCTCTCACTTTGGTCCTATTAAGATGCATGAAGAATGAATGAATGGAGTGCGAAAATCCAAAGTTTTATGAACTGGTTATTTATTTAGTATTATCTGGCTCATGTTATTGGGAAAGGCAATATTTACTGATTCCAATATTTGTTAAGCATATGTTATTTATAAATATTCTTAAATATTTCGATTAGGCTTTGTCAAAATAAAAAGCTAATTATGTTATTGTTGGTCCATCTTCATCACATTGTATCTTCCCGTGTTCAGTATAAATAATGTTGTTATTAATGACAAACAATATCTAGTATATAGGTATACATTCAGTTAATTTTTGTGAAATAAATGAATAAATAAGGTGGTATAATATAATATAGTTAAAGGGACTGACCCCTGGAGTTAAGACTCTCTGGGTTCAGTCCTGGTTACATCTCTTATTTGGCTGGGAGTCCTAGGTGTTAATTTCTCCATTTGAAGAATGGAAAATACTACCTTATTCCTGGTATGATTATTTAATTATATGATGTTACTGTTATGAGTTGCGATCACTTAGTAAGCACTTGCTGCATGCCAGGCACTCTGCTTATCTGCTTTATATGTGGTATTTTACTGATCACAACCCTAAAGTATGTGGAACTCACTGATGAAAAAAGTGAAGTGCACAGTTAAATAAATTGCTCAAATTTCCTCCAATATCTAAATAAATATTCAAGAGTAAGCATCTTTTAGTAGTAATTTCTTTCTTCCACGTAATCATGCCAATAAGACAAATGATGGTGACTACATTCTGTATTATACCCATTATAATTTTTAAAAAAGCATGTTCTTTCTTCCAAAGAGATTATAAGCACCTTTGGAGTTATAATCAATTTTCTATTTCTACTCCCATAGCACTTACATTCTTTTCTCAGATAAGACCCAAACAAAAACAGTTGAATAAAATCAACCATTAACTGTAACGTGCCACTTGGTTAGAGACTATTGAAAGACTCATTTTTCTCTCCATAAGATGATTTCTTCAGTGCTCATAAATTAAGTTCACATAGTACTTCCAAGTCTCTACTCTCATAGCTTTGTTCCTGAAATAGAACTGTAGAAACAATGTACTGTGTAGATTCTCTAAGAGCCATGTGTTTGAAACCACTAGAGCTTATGACACGTTTGTGGAATTTCCATTAAGAATAAATAAAAAAAGAATCCAGTAGATACTGTTTTCTCTTTTTTGACTTCAATGCTTAAATGAGAGAAGTAAATGGTCACAGAAAAATCTGAATATGTTAAATATTTACAATGTATGGGGGGGACTTCAAACAGTTTGTGAAAGAATGACAAAGGAGACCTGTAAACTCCTGGTGACCTCCCTGAATACTGGTTGCAAAGGGAGGTACTCAATCTAGTTTCTAGACATGCAAATCACAGAATAACTCAAAGCCCATCAAGACAGTTCCTGATATTACAGATTTCTCCGTCTTATTCTTACATGCGTTTTAAAACCAAAACTCAATAGACTAAGAGGAACTGAGATGATGATCAGTAATTTTCATTTAACACATGCTATACTGCATTAAACCTCACTGCACTTAGGGTTTCATATATCTACATATAATACAGATATAAATATTATTATATAGAATATATATTATTTTTAAAAATAAAGTGAGAATCACTCCACCCACTACTTTAAATGAAAGATAAAAGATATTACCAAAGTAGAGTTTCCTACATTTAAAAAGGCAGGAAGAAAAGAGGTATGCAATTTATTTTTCTTTCCTTTTTTTCCTTCCATATGGTGTGTGTGCTGCTTGCCAGAGAGAGACAGGGGAGGTCGGGTAGGAGGATGAGGAATCACCATATGAGATGGCCATGCTGCAATCTCTTATCCTCCAGTCTCCTCTCAGGATTTTGGGAATGCAAGCACACATGCCCAGCATGATTTTCAGGTTGCAGGGTCCAGGACTTAAACTGCACAGTTGCTCATGTGGAATCCAGCACCTTAACCTCCATGCCACATGCTAGCCCTGCAATTTCTTTTTAAGTTATTTACTGTGATTGAAAACTCCCATTACAATTCCCTGTACTAAATTATATACTGAGCTCACTGTCATCATGTTTATTTTTCACCAGAGATGCTTTCTTGAACAGTTGCTTATAAATTATGTTGAACTTTCTTCTGGTGTAATTAGAATTTTGTATACAATAACTTGTAAATTTACCATAATTTTGAGGTTTGGATTTCAGAAAAATATTTTTAATATATCTATGTGAGTTATAGTCAAACACAAATTTGGGGTTTTTGAAGTCTCAAATTTTGATTTATAGGCCGACAAAATTTTCTTTCTTTCTCTCTCTCTTCTCTCTCTCTCTCTTTCTTTCTT